AGCTGCATCGGCCAGAGCACTCATGGTGGCACGCATTTACTGCGTTTCGACTGCCTTCTCCCTTGTCTGCGACAGACGCGGGCGCAACGGAGCACGCGACAGAACCTTCCCGAGCAGCGGGCAGTCCCCCAGCTGCGGCAAATTTTGAGGCGCGCCGAGGAGCATCACCGAGACGGGAGCACCACGCGGCAGGCCTGGGGCCGCGCTGCTGCGCAGTGGCCTGAGCTCGCCATCGGCCGTAGTCTCGTGGAGCTCTTCCCGGTTTGGAAAACGAGCACGGGCAACGTGGGGCGGCGATTCCGCCATTTCTCTGAGGTGCATTGCCCCGAGAGGGCTCGAATCTTGGACGTTACCGTTGAGGAGTGCACGCTCGTGGACGAAGCGCCCCCCAGTAAGTTGTTGCGCGCGCAGCTGGACCAACAGGAGCGGGGCGAGAGCTCTGCCAGCACGCGCTGGCACAGACAAGTGCTCAAGTTGCATGAGCGCCTCCAGGGGAAGATCGCAACGACGTTGAGGAGGGCCGAGAGGCGCGACAAGGGAACCACCAGAGAGCCTCGGCCAGGGCGTCGGACAGAGGTAGGCTTCGGCCGCAAGAGAGCAGCTGCCGTCGACGCCATGGCGGCCGCTTCCCCGAGCAAGCGCGCTCTCCTTCTCGCGGGGGCCGGCCCCGATCTCGCTGCGGTGGCGCAGGAAGCGGCCCAGGCGAGCGCGGCAGATCCAGTCCGCCCAGCTGCAACAGTCGTGGCCGCCGTTGCCAAGCGGGAAGCCAAGGTGCGAGAGCGCAATCTCGCAGGGGCGAAGGCCGCCGCCAAGGCCAGGAGTGCGCGGGGGAAGAATGTCTTGCGCAGTCCAGGGCCAGGACCTGTGGGCCGCGACGCCTACATGGCCCCCGCGCGCCCCCCTGGCCTCATGCTGGTTCGCAGGGGAGAGACGGCAGCGCATCGCAAGGCGCAGCGCCTGCACTTCCAGCTGGTTTACGACCCCGTGGACTTCCTGAGACGCCTGGCCAAGCAGGACAGCCACGCAGCGCGGAGGAAGGGGAACGTTGTGTTGGCTGCCGCGTCCGACACAGACTTCGGCATCGCCGCTCAGATTGCAGCGGCGTTCACGGGAGCTTTCTACACGACGCCCACTGATTTTGCACAGCGGGACTCTCCGGAAGGCATCCAGTACACAGAAGCTTCGGAGCTCCAACACAAGCTACCATGTCGCTGTAACAGCGGCTCTCGAAGCAGACCTCCCTACACTCCCCCACATATTGCGAGCCCTTTTTCCGAGGCGCCGAGCGGGTGCGTGATCTACTACCTGGACCCCAAGAAGCTCTGCAGTTTCTTCAAGAAGCATGCCAAAGACATGCCCCGACTGGTGCAGCGGGCTTGCGTGTTGTGCCGCTCAGGAGAAGAGACGGGGGCCAAGAAGTCCTGCAAACAGATCTACAACAGTCCGAAGAATTGGATTCTGCGCTTCGACGCGTCCGTTGCAGCACGGTGCCCTGGCAGTAGTTAGGAAGGCTAAGCGAGCGTAGGGAGGTCCAGGAAAAAAGATCGTATCCGTCTCATAGTCCGTCGTAAGGAGGTTCAGGAGGGGAAAAAAACGCCTCCGTCTCATAGTTCAGCAACATTTATGATGCCAACCTCGCTGGCCGCCTCACGAGACGCGACAAGAGAGGCTAGAGGCTGCGCCGCCCTCACGAGGCGCAACAAGACGATTGCTCCAAACTGATTCGGCACTGCGCACCAAAGCGGCCACTTGAGCCAAAGTGGCCTCTTGCCCGCGCCCCCCGCGCCCATCCCTCCCCGTGCCCCCCGCGCCCCTAAGGGGCGCCGCTGCCGTGGGCGGCGCTGCCCGCCGCTGGGGACCTCAAGGTCGCCAGTTGCCAGGGGCGGAGGCGGGGGGATTGGGGTTCAGATCGTCGGAGAGGCGAGCAGGGCAAGCCAGGTGTGGGCATCGGGGTCGTCTTTCATTGCGCTTGCCCCAGCTTCGGGCGCGCCGCGCAGTCCACGGTCTTCTCAACGAAACCGTGGCAGCTATCCCCGCCGACGGCTGCAACGGCGCAACGCAATCTCCCCCTCTGGCCACAGTTGCGGCAGCTGCAACAGCTCCCCGCCGACAGCGCAACAGCTGCAACAGCTCCCCGCCCACAGAGAAACCTGTCGAGCGATCCCGAGTGAAACCTTTCGAACGATCCCGAGCGAAACCTTTTGAGCGACCTCCCTCTCTCTCGCTCGTCTCCGCAGCTGTCTGCTCGACCGCCAGGCCTGCGCGCCCGGCCCCCAGGCTGCCGCGCCCCCTCTTCGGCTGCAACAGCGCAGCAGATGGGCAGCCGCGGCAAGGGCGGCGCGGGCAAGGGCCAGGGGCGCAAGGGCAAGGGCAAGGGCGGCCAGGAATACTGGCCTCGCGAGGTCAGATCAGCCAGATGCAGGGTAGCTGTGGCACTCCCCGCCCCTCTCGCCACATATATACATATATATATATATACAAGGAGGAGGCGGAGGAGTGACGCAACAACCGGCCCAGAATGGGTGACCGCCGCCTCCCGCTGGCGCCGAACATGGGTGCCGGCTGTCTTTTAGGAGGCCGCTCAGCGCGCCTGGATGGCCCCGTCCAGGGGCAGCGGTTCGGGGGGGAGGAGATGGGGGATTGATGTAAATGTAAGCTTCTATATGACTTGGGCCAGGAAGCGCAGGGGGTCCGTTCGCAGAAGCAGGAGGCGTGTCTGGGGTGTGCCGCATTTGAGCTTTAACATAGCATGATATAGCTCAAGTTGAGATCTAAGAGAGCATGTTAGATCACAACGTGTGATCCAACGTAGCATGTTAGATCACATGTGCGATATAACATAGCATATTAGATCACAAAGTGTTATCGAACATATCATGTTCGATCACAATTTGTGGTCTAACATAACATGTTATATTATATATGTGATCTAACATAGCAAGTTAGAGTCGAAATGGAGAGACAGCGTAGCATGTTAGAGTAGACATGGAGATCTAACCTTGTGTGTTAGATCAGAAAGTGAGCTCGGACATGGCATGTCATAGCATGTTAGATATACCTTTGAGCTCTAACGTAGCATGTTCGGGCCCCCATATCATGGCACTCTGGGGCACTGTTGCACCGCAGCCCCACCCTCAGATTTGGCTAGCCTCCTAGCCTTCAGGTCGGCAACTACGAGTTCCTGGAGAACTACCGCAAGGGCTTGCGCGAGCAATTCGAGCGAAACAGGATCCTGCGGGGATATGCAGCAGAGGTTGGCGACAGAGAAGCAGTTCTGGAATGTGAGCGCCGTGCGCGCTGGATCGCTTACAAGATGCGCAGTTTGAACGAACACGGCCAGAAGATCAGGGACAGGGAAGGAGCCCGGGAAAATCAGTCGGGGCCTTACGGAGGCCTTGATGGCGCAGCAGCGCGGCAGATGAGCGAGGAGGAGCGCACGTGGAACGCCCAAGTGATAATGCACGAGGCGGCCCATCCCCCGCCTCCGCCAAATATCACAGTCCAGAGGCCTCGGCAACATCAACAAGCGCCAGCTCCACCGCCGACGGCGCCAGCTCCGTGGCCCCACCGCCGAGCTCAACCTATGGCTGCAACAACTGGGCCCTCAGGCAACCCGAACTCCATGGTGCCCGACGACGCCGAGGAGCCCCGCGACGCGGAGCCCGAGGGGGGGCGCTCCTCCAGCCGCGCTCGTCGGACCTCGTCCGAGCCGCGCTGGGGCGAGCCGCGCTCGGAGCCGACCTCGCCCGAGCCGCGCTCCTCCAGCGCCACAGGAGGAGGCGCACGAGGAGGGCCCGATGGATGAGGGCGACGGCGCTATCCCTGAGGAGGAGGACGAGTTTGCCGAGGAGGACGGCGTGGCATCCAGTCGCTCGGGCCCGCCATCAGACTGGGGCTGCGGCGATATCCAGCACTGCGCCTACCAGTGCGAGGAGATGCGCCAGCAGGCGGGCGGGGGACGTGATCCTCAGCTCGCCCAGGGGGAAATGCGCGAGCAGGCGGAGGCGCTGGGGAGAGCCTGCCGAGAGTCGATGGCGCGGACGCAGGCGTGGGCAGCGTCGGCTGGGGCATCGTCGGCTGCAACAGCTCCCGTGGACGTGCTGCGTGATGAGCCTGCGCTCTTGATGCCTGGAGCGGCCTCTGGTGCTCCTGTCACGCCACCTATTTCAGGATCACCGTCGGCTCCGCCATCTGCAGATCATCGGGATTGGCAGGCATACGCACCGTGGCGGGAGAAGAAGAGGGGCCAGCAGGACTTAGTCCCTGAGGATTACGGCCTCCCCAGGACGAAGCCGAAGACGCCTGGGCCGCCTGACCAATTGCGTGCTCCAGGCCAGGGGCCATCGCCTGGGCCATCAGCGAAACTGAGGCCCCCGTCGATGGGGCCAACGCTGGGTCCAGCCACGGCGGCCCCAGCACCGAAAGCGAGGCCCGTGAGCCGACCGCCACTGGCTCCACCCATGGCGGCGCCCCATCGGGGCCCTTGCGTGATCGCACCAGCGCCAGCGCCGCAGCGCCTTCCCCATCACGTCCCGCCGCCGGAGGCGCCGCCGCCGCCGCCGCGGGGCCCCCGCGGGGCACCGCCGCCGCGAGCGCAGGTTCGGGCAGAGATGGGCGTGCATAGCTTGGGCTTCGCCGACCAGGAAGAGCGAGATCGGCAGGAACACGTGCAGGCTGAGCGGAGTCGCAAAATTGGTGCATATCGGCGGAGCACGACTGTCTCGACTGCGAAGGCAGGTTAGCTTGAGGCGGAGGGGGCTGCACGACGCCAGTGCGACGAGGACTTGGCGGGCCGGGATTAGATGGCGGCGGCCCGCAGCACTCTTAAGTGGCAGTCAGCTGCAACAGCCCTCCAAGACGTACCAGCGTACTTGCGTGGGAAGGGCCCCGCGAAATACAAGCGGATCGCCGTGATGCCTGCAGCGCAGGCCGCCCAGCTGCCCCCGAAACCGAATCGGATCCCACCCTTGGCGTTGTCAAGCCCGCATGAGGCGGCGCAGGCGTTGCACGCGGACTGGGCGAGAGCACCGAACTCGTACAATGACCCCGACGCGCGGGAGAAGGAGATGAGGCTTCGGGACAAGAGGAACGGGATGATAATGGAGCGCCTCGGGGCGGGCGCTCCCGTCTTCTACTCGAGCTCGGGGAACAGCATGTGGCCTCTGGTGCAGTCGGGCGACCACTGCCTCTTCCACCCGATCCAGGCGATAACAGCGATGGACGGGTCCCCCCACATCATCGAGAAGGACGAGTCCCCCATTGCCGTCGGGGACGTCGTGTTCTGCCGCGTCCAGCCGACTCACCAGTACTACGCCCACTTTGTGCGCCACGCAGAGTGGGACAGCTGCCGCCAGGAGAACAAGTACATACAAGTACTGGATCGGCGGCCTCCAAGTGCGCCACAACTGGAGGCCGTGCAACGGCCACTGCTTTCGTCGTGACATCTTCGGCATCCTCATCAATGTATACGTCAACATAGGCGGGCGATGCCACAGGAGGCCCCGCCCGCAGCCTCTGTACAAGAAGGTCGCGCCCCTGGTTGCGCAGGACGAGTGGAGCAACGCGGCCGAGAGGATGTGCGAGGCGGAGTCAGACGCAGACATGGAGCCGCCCGTGCCCGTCCACGAGGATGATACTGAGACTGCTGCCGCATTGGCGGAGTTTCGCAGTGTCACAGGGCCACCGGGCCGCTTCCGCAAAGCTTGGACCGCTGTAATTTCGGGCGAGCCCCGCGGACAGCTTGACCAGGCATTGGCTGCAACAGCGACCCCACTCTTTAAGTGTTCAGCCGCCAAGGCCAGCAGGCTGGTGCAGTACAGACGTCGCCAGCGAGGCCAGCGTGCTAATCTGCTGCCCACTGCGGCACTTTCGTATTCCACGGCACCCCGCAGGGGATTTGCTTGGAATGAATGCACTTCGCTGGCCGCGCGCCAGCGCGTTTCGGTCCAAAGCGTGCTCTGCGCGCCTTCAATTTTATCTTGCATTGACAAGATTGCGCGCCCCGGCGTCACAACAATCGTCTGCAGGCTGTGCTGCTCTCGCAGGAACTCAGGCCACGCTCATCTCGTGGATTATTGCTTCGCGTGCTCTCCAGCTCCCCTCCCCCTTCCTTCCTGGATGCAAGCTCCCCCATTCCCTATCCTTCTTGCTCCTGCATCCATTTGCCTCCTGGCTGAAACGGCTGCTCATGGCCCTGGCGTTCATCCCCCCCTGTCTTTGCATCCCCTTCCTCCGCCTGCCCCTGCCCCTGATCACCCTCATCCTGCTCCTCCTCCGCCCTCTGTCGGAAGGGCAAGCTGGCGTACGACGGCCGTCGCCAGCCAGGGTTCCATCTCTCAATGCCACTTCCTGCTACTGGTGATCATAGCAATGTCTTTGCGGACCCACGCCCGTTCGGCCTGTTCCCCCCCGCTCAGCTCGTCAGTCAGGGGGGAGCTCCTCATTCGCGCCCGCGTTGGTGGCGGCGCCGTCCGAGGGCTCCGAATCCTACTCAGATTGGGGCAAAATCTGGTCTGACACTTTGAAGTCTTTCGGTCGCGCGTTATCGCTGCCTGAACATCGCCAGTCAGTTTCCCGCATCTTCCTAAGCGCGTCCAGGACAGGTGCCGCGATAAAGGTGCCAAGGGGCTATGATCACCTCGAGCATTTCCTGGATGCTGGCGGCAGCATTCCTGAAGCATGCTGATCTCATTGGTAAGCATGCAGATCCGTTGGCTGCAACAGCTACAAGAAGTTCCCCCTTGGCTGCGACAGGGGCAATAACTCCCCCCTTCAGGCCCCGCATCGTTCCCCCGCTCGTTGCCCCACAGGCCCCGTCGTTGCCGCGGCTCGCTGTCCCCGCCGCATGGCTGCCTCCCGCGGCTGCCTGCGCGCAAGTCAGTGCTGGTGGGGCGGGGGAAGCTCGTCGAGGCAGCTTGATCGCTCGGGGTGCAGTGCCAGGGCCCACCGCGAGCGTGGATGCGGTCTGGGCTGACCGCGACAGACATGCGCCCACCAGCGCTGCCATCGATGCCCCTGCTCTTCCCCGCCTGCCCTGCTCTTTCCCCACCCCCCCGCCGCAGGTCCCCGGCGGCGGGCGGCGCCGCCGCAGGCGTACTGCAGGAGAGGGAGAGCGACAAACAGAGGGAGAGTGGCAAAGAGAGAGAGAGAGAGAGAGAGAGAGAGAGAGAGAGAGAGAGAGAGAGAGAAAGAGAGAAAGAAAGAGAGAGAGAGAGAGAGAGAGAGAGAGAGAGAAAAAGAGAGAGAGAGAGAGAGAGAAAGAGAGAGAGAGAGAGGGAAGGAGAGACCCACATCACAAAGTGTGATCTAACATGGCATGTTAGATCCCATATGTGATCTAACATAGCATGTTAGACCGGCAGATCAGCTCATGCGCAGCTTTAGGCGGTTTCGGTGTCTTGCCGCCTTGTCTTATTTTTCCCCTGTCGCCCGCGGCTTTCTGCCGCTCTCGCTCTGCCCTGATATCCGCCGCATCATCAGGCACGCTGGCGGCGAACTCGCTGCACGGAACTGCGGTAGAAACTGGGGAATCATGCCCTTGCCGCCTGCGCAGTTTGAAGAGCTCCTGGGGAGGACGCCGAGGTAAATGCCTTTCCTGGCAGAAATTGAACTCTAACAGAGCATGCTAGGGCACAAGTTCTGTTCTAACATAGCATGTTCGGGCAAAACTGTTGCTACAACTTAGCCCGGCTCAATTTCAGCTCTAACATAGCATGTTCGAGCACAAGTTGAAGTCTAACATAGCATGTTAGAGCACGACTCGTGATCTAACATAGCAAGTTAGATCACACATTGCGATCTAACAGACCATGTTAGATCACAACTTGTGATCGAACATGGCAGGTTAGAGCACGGTAGATCAGTACTTGAGCTCCAACATAGCATACTAGGGCACATATTTGGTTGTAGAGCACAATTTGTGCTCTAACATGCGATGTTATATCACAAGTTGGTATCTAACATGCCATGTGAGATCACAAGTTGGGATCTAACATGGCATGTTAGATCGCAAGTTGTGATCTAACATGCTATGTTAGATCACAAACTGCGATCGAACATGCTATGTTAGTTCACACGTTGTGATCTAACATACTATGTTAGATCGCAACTTGTGATCTAACATGCTATGTTAGGTCCCACGTGTGATCTAACATAGTATGTTAGATCACAAGCTGCGATTTAACATGGTATGTTAGAGCACATGCTGCGATCTAACATGCTATGTTATATCAGAAATTGTGGACTAACGTGCTATGGTAGATCAGAAACTGAGCTCTAACATAGCATATTTAGCTGTAGAGCACAATTTGTGCTCTAATATGCCATGTTCTATGCAATCTAACATGCTATGTTAGATCACAGTCTGTGATTCAACATGCTATGTTAGGATCACAGTTGGTGATCTAACATGTCATGTTAGATCGCAAGTTGTGATCTATCATGTCATGTTAGATCCCAAGTTCATGCCATGTTAGATCACAACGTGCGATCTAACATGCCATGTTAGATCCCATTCGTAGTCTAACATAGCATGTTAGACCACAAGTTGTGATCTAACATGGTATGTTAGATCACAACTTGTGATCTAACATGCGATGTTAAATCACAAGTTGTGATCTAACATGCTATGTTAGATCAGAAATGGAGCTCTAATATAGCATGAAAGCTCAAATTGATGTTCGGAGGGCCCGCCCCCGCCGCCCCCAAGGGCGCGCGGCGCGCGGAGCGCGCGCAAAAATTGTCGCGCGCTACGCCCCCTCCCCCCCTCCCCCCCCCCACCCACTCCAAAGCGCCTTTCATCGCCGAAAATCGATTTTCGCAGTGCTAAGGGCCCCCCCCCTCCCTCCTAAAGCGCCCTTAACTGGCGAACATCGATTTCCCGCTGGCGAAAGCCCCCCCCCCCCCTTCCCCCAAAGCGCTTTCAACCGCCGAAACATGATTTTCGCTGGCCAAGCGCCCCCGCTCCCCCCAAAAAAAAGCGCCCTTGACCACCGAAAATCGATGTTCGCAGCGCTGAAGGGCCCCCCCCCCAACAAACAAAAATCAACCCTTAACCGCCGGAAATCGATTTTCGCCGTGCTAAGAGCTTCCCCCCTCCCCTCCCCGAAAGCGCCCTAAATCGCCGAAAATCGATTTCCGCTGGTTAAGACCCCCCCCCAAAATGGGGGGGTCTTAACCAATCCGAGATCGATTTCGGAGTGGTTAAGACCCCCTTTTTCGCCGGTTAAGCCCCCCCAAAAAAGAAGAAGAAGAAGCGCCACACGGTATGTTCGATCACAACTTGTGCTCTAGCATGCCATGTTAGAGCAGAAATTGTGCTCTACAGCCAAATTTGTGATCTAACACGCTATGTTAGATCGCAACTTGGGATCTAACATAGCATGTTCGATCCGAAATTGTGATCTAACATCGCGTGTCAGATCACAGCTGTGATCTAACATGATATGTTAGATCAGAATATGTGCTCTATCATGCCATGTTAGAGCAGAAATTGTGCTCTAACATGCCAGCAGAAACTGTCCCTACAGCCAACTTTGTGATCTAATATGCGATGTTAGATCACAATTTATGTTCTAACAGAGCATGTTCGATCACAAAGTATGATCTACAATGCCATGTTATATCACAAATAGTGATCGAACATAGCATGTTAGATCACAGCTTGTGATGTAACATCGCATGTTTGATCGCAAGTTGTGATCTAACATGGTATGTTAGATCACAATGTGTGTGATCTTACATAGCATGTTTGATCACAAGTGTGATCTAACGTGTCATGTTAGGTTACAACTTGGGACCTAGCTTGCTATGTTTGATTACACATGGGATCTAACATAGCATTCTCGATCGCACGTTGTGATCAAACATGGTAGGTTAGATCAGACTGTGCGCTCTAACTTGCCATGGTAGGGCATGAATTGCGCTCTAGAGCCAAATTTGCGCTTTATCATGCCATGTTAGAGCACAGCTTCAGATCTAACATAGAATGTTCGATCGCAACTTGTGGTCTGCATGCCCCATCCTACGCTCCTTCAACCCCCAGCACAGCCCCTAAGCACAACCCCCCAGCACAACCCCCACGCAGCCTCACAACCCCTGGCACTGCCAACAGCACAACCTCCAGCACAAACCTCCAAGGACAAGCCCCCAGCACAACCCTTCGCGCAGCCTCACAACCCCTAGCACTACCTCTCAGCACAAACCCCCAGCACAACCCCCAAGCACACCCCCCCAGCACAACCCCCCCACGCAGCCTCACAACCCCTAGCACTACCTCCCAGCACAACCCCCTACGGCCAAATATGCGTTCTAACATCCGACGTTAGATCACATCTTCTGGTCTAACATTGCATGTTACACAAATTGTGCTCCAACATACCATGTTAGATCACAACTCGTGATCTAACATGCTATGTTAGATCACAAATGGGATCTAACATGCCACGTTAGATCGCACGCTGTGATCTAACATGGTATGTTAGGTCAGAAGTTGTGTTCTAACTTGCCATGTTGAAGCAGAAATTGCGCTCTAGAGCCAAATCTGGGCTCTAACATACCATGTTAGAGCACAATTTCTGAATTAACATAGCATGCTAGATCACACCTTGTGATCAAACATACCATGTTAGATCACAACTTGTGGTCCGCATGCCCCATCCTACTCTCCTTCGACCGCCGAGATGGCTCCCAGGTAGCGCCACGAAACCGCCCTCTTCGCCACGCACACACAGACTGATATTCACGATGTCTGGCTCTGGTGCAGAGTCCAATACGCTGTCGGCGTGGATGCGGGGGGATTGCGCAAAACTGCAAC